CTGCTGGTGGTGATCGAGCCCCAAGCATTGTGAAAACAAGCCAGCCTGCTCCCAAACAGGGGTAATGGGGAGAAGGGAATGACAATTAGAATACGGCTCTGGACCACGTAGTCAACATGGGTGCTTGGGGGGGATGTGCCAGGGGAAGGCACGTTGACTGGCCAAACCCTGGATCCAAATGCCAAAGTATCTGTGATATTCAGCAAGGACTACAACAAAGTCTTAGCCACAAAGCTGTCTTCGGTGATAAATGCTCAAAATTCCTTGCTCAACACTTCAGGCCGCTGGTCTGCAAACTTAAGACAATGCCATCCAGTTCACAAAGTTGTATTTGGACAGCAATGCCTACTGGATAGCAATGTGCATAAGCATGGAAGAGGAAGTGTAAATCTTCCTACCCATCAGGTCCATCTAAGTGCCCACGCGACATAAAGCGTCCTCGATCAGTCTTATGAAACCTTTTCCTGGGCATACTTGATGGGGAGCAACTCCTCCATCTCTTCGGAGAGACACCAGCTCTAGAGTGTGAAACGGCAGCGCTCTCAGAATTCAAGGGCAATGCAGGCCTCAGTGCCAAAGCAGGTGCTGCTTTAGGCGAAGATCCCTCGCCACCTGAGTCCATTTTGTGAACAATTTGCAAATCGAACACTGCTCCTTGACATGGGCTTTGGCTAAGCACAGCAAGCACTGTGTGTGGGGATTGTTGTTGGGGATCACTCCCGCACACGATGGACAATGTTTAAACCCTGGTCAGGGCAGCACCAGGGAAATACTTAAAGTAAAGCTAACTAACACTCAATCTCACAAACACTATATTTAAGGATACTAATTAACTATACACAAGTAGAAAAAGTCATGAAGAACTAGAAAGGTGGTGAGATTAGAAACCACACAGACCTCTGACTCTGGTAAAGAGCTCTGAGAGAGTAAGAAGGAATTGGGGGAGGAGGGGTGGAGGCAGCTTCACCTCATATAGCCAAGGAAGGGCTATGAGCATGAGGCATCCTATGGGCACTGCTAGGCAAAATTCTCCAGCTCCTGTATGCTGGGTGAGCACACACCTAAGTGGAATACACGGATTCATCTACTCGAAGACACCTTCACTGCATAAACTTATTGATTATTATTATCCATTACTATTCCCAATGACCTAGGTGCAGTACAACATAAAAAAGGTGCAGTCCTCGCTCTGCAGACCTTACATTGTTTAGAAGATATTTTAAATATCTGGGAGAAACATCTCATGTTTACACATGAACTTTAATGCTGTACTGCTTTTACAATTCTTTCTACAGTACACCAAGACAATGCATAGCGGCACCTGTGGAAAGAGCAATCTGGGTAGCAGCAATTACTCTGAGGCTATGTCTACACGTGATTCTCACTGAGCTAGTGTGAATATAAATAGCAGTGTAGTCACGGTAGCATGAGTAGTGGCTGCAGAGGCACAGCTGAGCCATGTTGAGTACATACCTACCAGTTTCTGCTATTTATACTCGCACTAGCTTAATGAGAGCTAGCGTAAGTATTTGTATATGAGCAGGGGAATCACACCCCTAGCTCATAGTGTAGACCACAGCCTAAGTGTTGGCTCCTTCTTGCGCCAAGGCCCATGCCAGTGGCAGATAACTTCCCCTACCACGCAAATGCAACACAGTTGGGGAGGTGGAGTCAAGGCTCCACTCACTCCCTACCCACCTATGTGGAGGGAAGTAGCAGACCCACAGAGCCTGCTTTCCACCTGGCCCCACTCTCGACTCAAACCAAAAATGTGGGTAGCTTATGCAGGGAAAAAGGGGGCATTAAAAGTAAAACAAAAAAAAATCTTATAATTATGCACATTCCCAGTATTATCTACATTATATATATGTAGAGATGCATATATACACTCACACACGCACATGTGCACACATATAGTTGGCTCTGGCCTTGATCATGCTCTTAGCTGCTTCTGGACAGTTTGAAAATACATCACTGCCTTAGATTCATTAACACGCCCTACATCAGTGGAGAACAGGCGTAGTACTGCAGAGCTTCACCACAGACCCTACCTGCTCTTGACACACTGAGTGGTACAAATGAGTTGGGTTTCATAAAACAATCTAACCCTATAGGTATATCTATATATAATGTTTGTTGTATATTACACGAAAAGCTGTATTAAAAGAACATTATTAAGGTTGCAAAGTCAAGCACTAGAAAGTTAGGAAATGCCAGAAGGTTACTTGTGCAACCTCAGGCTGGCTTCCTTTTGCATATGCATTATGATATAGTCTTTAATTACATGATCACATGCTATTTCTTCCACAGGACCCTACCTCATTCAGTGCACAGGATGGATGATGCTTCCTTAATAGGCAGCTATTCAATGTTTTCTGTTATTCCCATCGTTCACAGTGTGGCCCCACGCCTTATTTACTGCACACTATTGAAACTTTATTCTGAAGACAGAATTATTATTTTCCCCATGGGCTTTTCTATACTGCTCATCGCTACTGTATCTGATCCTTTGCAAACATGTATTCATTTATCTTCTCAACACTCCTGTGAGATGAGACAGTGGTATTATTTCCATTTTATAGTGGGAGAAGTGAGGCACAGAGAGATCAAGGTCAAAAGTAACCACTGATTTTTCAGAGAATTTAGAATTAGACGGCACTTTAAATGTTCAAATCACAGCTCCCATGGACTTCAATTGCACTTGTGAGTGCCCGGCACTTCTGCAAATCAGATCCCAGGTTTTCAAGTTCGGCACCCAGAATATGAAGAACACACAATTAGTGAGCACCAGTGAAAAGTCTGGTTCAAGTGACTTGACTAGCATCAGATACGAACTCTGGCTGAGGCAGGGATAGAATCCAATACTCCCATGCCTTAACCATGAGACCCTCCTTTATTGTTGTTCAATTCCCTGTCTCATTCACTACACACCTTCTAACTTCAGCAACAAATGAGCCGTGCATCCTACAGACAACAGCCTTCTTTACTACACAACCCTGATTCATCCCCAGAACAGCTCCACTCTGTGCATTGAATAAGACAGGGATCAAAAGCACAAGAGCAAACTATCTCACAGTGTAGGACAGATAGGAAGTATGGCAAGAGACCACGGTGGCTTACCCAGGAGATCTTCAATTATCTGAGACACAAAAAAGAGTCCTACAAAAAGTGGAAACTAGGTCAAAGTACAAAGGATGAATATAAACAAACAACACAAGCATGTAGAGACAAAATCAGAAAGGCCAAGGCATAAAATAGGATTAAACTAACTAGAGACATAAAAGGTAAAAAGAAAACATGCTATAAATACATTAGAAGCAAGAGGAAGATTAAGAACAGGGTAAGTCCATTACTCAATGAGGAGGAAAGACAACAACAGAAAATGTGGAAATCGCAGAAGTGCTAAATGACTTTTTTGTTTCAGTTTTCATCAAAAAGGTTAGTGGCGATTGGACGTCTAACAAGCTTCCTCCTCCATGGTGCCTAGGTTGAGTAGGGATAGGGAGGCAATTGAAAGCATAAGAAAAAGAGGCTCCCCGCGCTCATCTACGGTGCCTGACTCCAATCTGGGCTAGTGCAGCAGGGAGCAGCCATAACAGGGAAACTATAGCTTCATCCCTGTAGCTCTGAACTAGAGGAAGCATGGATCAGTCACAGGTGCAAAAAGGTCAACGCTAGGACTTGAGGGGGCTCAGGCATGATCGGTGAGGACAAAACCTTCTGACATTTTAGCTGCTGGAATCTAAGTCTCTACTAAGCATGTGTGATTTATGATTTTTCAAAGATTTATAACTTGGTCAGATTTTCACAGGGATGGCAAAAGGCACATCCTTAACACAAAAGCCACCTCCTGACAAATTTGAAGTCATTGCTACAAAGTATGGTGGCGCTAGAGCTTCTCAAAGAAAAGGCAACAAGAATTTTTTAACATTGGCAAAACAACATTTTTTCCCACAGCTTTATTCTTGGAAACTGCTGAACCATTTTGGCTGTCATTTTCCAAAAACATCCAGCTTGAGGCAGACACCCAGCATGGATAATTAAATGGTTAAAGTTTGGCAAAGCAATTGAAAACAGGGTCTTATATAGGAAGTGTTAGGCAACCTTAATAATAGGTGGCATTTCCAGCACCATCTTTAATATAAAACAAGAATTTATATGCTATATAAATATACAATATGTACACACATTTTCATTAAAGATTTATTTGTCAGGAGGAGCTCATTATGTGAATAATATACCACATTTACATAATCAAGTAAAGGTCAAATACTGCTGATAACAAGTGTGAGCAAATCTGTTTATTTTCTGAAATAAGTATACTAGATCAAACTTGACTGTCACAGTCAACTTCACCACAGGATAGTATCTAACTTGGTCCAAAAGGTTGTCAATAAATATGATCGGCACCTACCTGGAACAATCCACATTTCCAAGCACATTTTGAAAGCTTGCTCCCTTCTTCCATCTTTGATTCACTAAAACTGAAAAATATATAGGGCTAATACCTGAAGCCTGGCCCAGCTTTGCTCAATAGGTTATCCAGGGGCAAGCAGGGCAAAGGTCATCAATGTGTCATCTTTTTGCTCCCCAATCCTCAGAGCTCCCGAGAGGCAGTTTGGGCCCAAGTTAAACTAAAGGAGCCTCAGAGTTGTTCCAATTTACATTGGCTGGTAATGGTCTCCAATGGGGCATTACATCAGCTAGACATTGCCAAAGCAAACCAGTACTCTGTCTGTGCCATCAGGCATATCTAGGTTGTGTTGGAGAGGCTTACAGGGAGTGATGTGGAGGTACAAAAAAAAAGGCTGTAAATAAGTAAAACTGAAAAAACTAAAGATTAAATTTGTAGAAATGACATTTATATATGATCTCAATATTTTTAATGCCTCAGTAACTTTAGAATAATGTGCTGAATAGTACAGAGATAATCTGGTTAAGAGGGTTAATTCAACACACCAAATTTAGAAATTACCTCTCTTTCTCTTCCTCTTTTATAGGGCTCCTGAAGTCCAGTCTCATCACTCTCACTGCATGCAGTGCCCACAATGAGACATCATACTGACTATGGAATTAATGACATGAGACTTTTGATGGGAAACAATACAGCTCTATCTATCTGCTTGTAAGAACCACATCCACACAGTGTCTGAGTGCTGACATGCTTCTGCTTTGAATCTCAAACTGGGAAAGTTGGACAAATTAAGACTCATTTGTACATGAAGGTGGATAAGTGCCAGACATCAAGTTTTCATCCAAGCTGTGTTTTATTAAAGCAGGGAGGGAAAGTCAATATTTGTTAGGATTTTCTTTAAGCAACAGTCCAGAAATAAAACTTTTAAAGTCCATCTATCCCATCACTCCTCCTGCTCTGCTTCCATTGTTAGGTTTCCAAATATCTGAAAACTACTCAATGTCTGGCTTCTTTGTTCTTCACGGAGTTCAGTTGTTTTCTCAAAAATTACTGAATTCTGGGGGCAGTTCGTCTCTGAAGATAATACTAAGTCCCCAAGGGTGTGATATCATGTTTTGTACCAGGGAAAAAAGATAGCAACACTGAAAGTGTCAGGTAACAGTGGTACTTAAGTTCCATAAAAGCGATACTTTATTTAACAGTTTAAATTGCTCCTTGTAACCTGTTCTTTTTCCTTCATCAAGCATTATAAAAAGAAAGTACATTTTTGCAATTACCATTTCAATTTACTTTGTGTATACATACGCAGATACAGCCAAAATTATTAACCTGCCTGCCTAAGCCAAATCATTCTTTTTGGTGGTGTGGGGTGAAGAATTGCTGTGTTTAATTTTCCTGATGAATAATGTCCCCCACTGAGCCAATGTAACAGTGAAAGAACTACCATGAAACTAATCAGGAACTCAAATTGTAAACAGCTGTGTATATAGTAAAAATGTAATGACTGTTCTAAGAGAGTTATCCAAAACAGAGTCTTATTTCCCATGTCTATTAGCTATATTGAAAATTTCTGTAAATACTGTACTCATTAACATTTGGACAATCAAGGTTGTATTGTATTAAACAAGAGTAATTTTCCTTCCTGTCTGACCATTCGATTTATTTATTTTAAAAGATTTTTTTTTAACAAGCATGTCTGCATTCTCTGAGTTTAACTCCTCAATTCAAGCCTTGACTAAAGCTTAGAAGCATAATTCAAGTTGTTCTAAATTGTATAGACTGGCAGGAAAGTGCATTCCCACAGCTGGTTCTTATTTTCATCATTCTATTAACTCTTTCGCATTCCGCGCTGGGGTTTTCTGTTATAGTGTTACTGCTAATAATAGACATGTCAAAAAATACCAAAACAAAGGAAATGGACAAGAAAACCACAAGCTTCAGGGAATTTATAATAACTTTTCAATAGGCAGTTTTAGGAAAGATTATCTTGTGAAGTTCATAACAGCAGGGGTGCCTAGTGAAATTGCTAGAAATGCAGCAAGAATAGCCTTAGTGATTTAAGACAAGTGGTATTATTATTTACACAAAACAAGGCAGACACGAGTTTATATTCTGTTTAGTAGCAGTAAGCTTAATAGTGTTAGTATGAGCTACACAGCACTCTGACTGGAAGAGCATTTGTATTTTATATTTGGATAGCTTGATACATAAACCAATGAGGGCCCTTTTCAATGTCTGTGGGATTATACACTAGTCCCAAATTCACAGAACACAGCTGGATTCACACATTATTGATTTAGCACAAGTATTTGTATTCAGTGAACAGAGAAGTTAAATATTTATAAACAGTTATAGGCCGAATGAACAAATCTGAAACTTACACAGTAAAAAGCAGTTCAAGACGTACAGTAGCAATTGTATGAAAGAAAGAAAGAAACAGGATTGAAATTCACATCATATACAATTTGGGCAAACTGTTTAACTTTTCAAACAGCTTGGGTCAACATTATCAGTCATAACAGTGAACCTATACAGCCTTCCGATTATATTTTAAAATATCTCTTCATGAACAGAACAGTGTGCAATTTAGTATGACAATGCTACAGGTGCACTTGATAAGACACCCTACAAACCATACTGCATTTTACTCACTATAACAATTTTTAATTTTTATCCTCCTTTTGTCAGTGATACTGTTGATCATTTCCAGTAAAATTTGTTAAGGGATCTAAATTCCAAGTACATGGGTTTCTCACAGTAAAGATTTTTTAAAGCAAAAAATACAATGTGCTTTCTTTTCTTTCTGGTAGAGCAGAGCTTCAATACAAAAGCTACTAGTTAAGACATATGGCCAGGGTATTTCACACTTTATAATCTACCCAAAAGAAAAGAAAAAGTGCCCACAACGATGACAGGGGGACTACAATGAACACATTCAGTGCCCTAAACTTGGGGTTTTCTTCTCTAGTTGTGGCAAAATTTCTATTGATTTTAGTGGATGTAACACAGGTCCCTGTGTAAGGAACTGACAGAAATGTTCCTTTTATCTGCCAAGAAAACATAAGAGTGCAGCCTAAAGACTGGGAAGGGGTTTTTCCTGGCTGACTGGTTGATTTCTGAGGTCAACCAGGGAGAGAGATATATGCCAGCCATTCTTTCATAACTTTTATAGTGTTGATGGTAAGGAAGGTAGAGGTAAATGACTTGTATAACACAGCTCTGATTCACTTCAGTCCTTACAATTAACAGAATTAGTACAAACTGGCTATGCAGGACATAAAAAAAATCAAAAATTCTCCAATGTGTGGAGTATAATGTTACAAAGTAGCTTGTGCCACAACATTTTCTTATAACCAGTATTTCCGTTCAAACAAGCAAACGTTTTGCACAGGCAAGCTTTTTTCTTTTTTCATTGTTAGTTTTGGCTGAGGCCACAGTTACAACAGGAAATAAAAATTACATTACTCAGGAAGGAAGCTAATGAGTTTCCCCTCCCCCAAATGCCATTAGACACTTCCTGAATAAAGGAGAAGCACAGTAATATAAAGAAAGATGGTACATAAGAAACCAAAAAAACAGATCCTGCCATATGATTAAAACCATGTAATCATAGCTGTTTGAACAAAGCATGTTAGGTCAGTTAGTCTAATGCAACACTGCTCCTTACAATATTCATGAGTGCTTTGTCCATTCCAGTTTTAAACGACTCAAGCGCTGACGCTTTCCTCACTTCCTCTGGGAGATTATTCCAAAGCATAATACATCTACTTGTTATGAGTTGTTCATAATATTTAGCTTTAAGTTTCCTCTGTTCATTTTCTTCATTGCTTCTCATTTGAGCTAAATAGCAGTTAATAGAGGCCAATTCTCTTTGGGAAAACCCCAAAGCTGCAAAAAACCCCAGAGGTTTCAAGATTGGGTAACAAAATAATCTTGCCATGTCCTTAACATTCAGCATTGTACAACTTTAAAAAAACACATTTACACTTTTAGTGCTATTCGTTGAAATATTTTTAGTGCTATTCATTCAAATATATAATTTACTTATATAACAAAACTAATATTAAGATTAACTCAAAATCAGCTAGAGTTTTGCACATAGCTAATTTGTGTAACCTCATATTTCCTATGACTTACTCTCATCCTCCGCATCCTCCTCTCCTTCCGATGTTTTTTACACCTAGTCATTCCATCCAATCTAAATTTAGGTCTGATCCTACAAAGACTTGGAAATAATTTTTGAAGTCAAAGGGGTTACTAACATTAAAGTCACTCACCTGCTTGCATCTTTACAGGATCGGTCTCATACATTTTGAGCTCTCTAGTGCAGGGGCTGTTTGTCTTTCACTAGTGCTCTGATCTGACAAAAATATGCACATTTGTAAATTTACTCACATGAGTAATTTTACTGACTACTTGAATGAGACCACCCATGTGAGTAAAGTAATGCTCATCAGCAAGTGTTTGCAGAATCAGGACCTACTTATTGTACAGCACCTAGTACCATGGATCTACTCATAACTGGGGCAAATCATATGACAATATTTTCTTCTTTTATTCTTTCCCCTGCTTTCCTCTCTCTGACATAATGTCCATTTCCACATTTCAGCTCCTCCCCATTCCGTTCCATTCTTCCCTCCTTCTGCTTCTCATCTCCTCCCTATCCAATCTAGTTTCCTAGATTTAGTTTGAAACTAAAAAGCTGAATCAGACATTAAAAATGTCTTCCGAGTCATCTTCTTACTGAAAAAGGGGGAGAAATGCTATTAATGCCGTCTGCAGGCATTGTACCAAGCAGCTGATAGTTCTCAGAAGAAGAAAAAAAGTTAAAAAAAGAGGTGACAGCTGCTCAGCACAGCTTCTAGTAGTACTTTGGTCTTCTTTTGCCACTCCTTTTGTAGTTAAAGAGCTGACTCAGAAATACTTTATAATGTTTGATTCAGTTAGTTTTACTTTCAAAGGATAGCTAAGAAACTAGAAAAAATTATTAAGGAAAGTAAGATTTTTGTTTAATGTACATAATTTTAAATGCAGAACTTTTTATTAGTGTTACAATACATACATTATTTTAGTGTTGATACCAAATAGGGCCATTCCATAATCACAGAAAGAGATTTCAGAGTAATGTTTCATTCTGGCATCGCATCATTTCAAGAGTAGGTGAGGCACTTGGCTTTCAGTCTTCCAAGGAAACTAAGACATGGTGATATGACTTTCTGTGTCTTATTGCTTAAGTACAGTGCCTTGTTTTTTAAAGAGAAATCACAATTAGGGTTGCCAACTGTGTAATCACACAAACCCAAACACCCTTGTTCCGCCCCTTGCCCCACCCTTCTCTGAGGCCATGCCCCGCTCACTCCATTCCCCTCTCCCTCCGTCACTCGCTCTCCCCACCCTCACTCACTTTCACTGGCCTGGGGCAGGGAGTTGGGGTATGGGAGGGGGTGGGGGCTCTGGGCTGGGGCCGAAGGGTTCAGAGTGTGTGAGGGGACTCGGGCTGAGCTTGGAATAGGGGTTTGGGGAGAAAGAGAAGGTGCGGGGTGCAGGTTCTGGGAGGGAGTTTGGGTGTGGGAAGGGGCTCAGGGCTGGGGCAGGGGTTTGGGGTGCAGGAGGGGGTTTGGGGTGTGGGCTCCGGCTGGGCGGCACTTACCTTGGGTAACTCCCGGGCAGCGGCGCAGCGGGGCTAAGTCAGGCTCCCTGCCTGTCTTGGCCTTACACCACTCCCAGATGCAGCTGGCACATCCTGCACTGCCCCTGCCTGTAGCCACCACCCCTGTAACTCCCATTAGCTGCAGTTCCCGGCCAATGGGAGCTGCAGAGTCGGTGCTCAGGGCAGGGGCAGTTTGTTTACATTGACCGTATGCAGGCACGGCTGCCCGCAGCTCCCAGCGGCCGCAGTTCACCGTTCCCAGCCAATGGGAGCTGTGGGAAATGGCAGCCAGTAT